AGAACTCCCCCCACACACACACACACTGGAATTGGGTACAGAACATTAATCATCATTAAAACATAGCTTTTCCATGATTTCCAACAGGTTCAGCGGGTCCTGTGGTATATCTTCTTGTATCCTTTATTTCAGGGGGAGATGAAGCTACCACCTTCACCACCCTTACTTTAATCAATGAATCAGTCATCAGATCCTTTGTAAGAGAATATGGTAACCTGAGACAAAAATCCCCAAGGGGAAAATACATCAGGCCTGCTGCCCTTGAGCTTCTCTGGACGCTCTGTAATTGTGCATAGCCTGGGTGGCTCAGTTGGTGGTGGATTCTCAGAGAACACCTGACATCATCTTGACTAAGAGTTCAATGATGCTGACTCACGGGTGTGTGAGACACTTTGGCACCATTTGACATATAGATGGCACAATGGAGGCCACTGGGTGGAAGATGGTGGAGCCAATGGATGCTGGGCAGAGGTTTGACTGTCCTTCAAACTACTGGGCTGAAGAGAGCCAGGGAGGGGCATCTCTAGTGGTTTTGCTCCAAGTCTAGAGGCCAGGAGTCTTTACTGAAGCTGTTGAGGGACCCTGCTCTCCCAAGACCCTGGATCGGGAAGGCACAGAGACCAGGCACTGGCAGGGCTGGGGCCTGCCTGGAACCCAGGAAGAGTGGAGCTGCAAAATTTTTGCCTCTCCCCAACTACCTCCCAAGCTATTTGCTTTTTAGGTCATTATTTCCACAGGAAATAATGCAAAGGGAAACGAATGAGACTAACAAAGTAATGGAAGCGAGGATGAACCGACAGTTTGGAGGACTCTTGAGCTCAGCCCTCATCTCTGTCCTGCATTGTCTCACTTCCCTGGGATGCTCCAGGATGGAGGCATATCTCTGATGCACCCTCCCTGTTCTGGCACTTTCCCCAGGTCAACTCTCCACCCCTGATTTTTCTCCCCTTCTTCCTGGGAACAAGACCACCTGCCTACTGACTACATTTCCCAGCCTCCCTTGCAGTGAGGTATGGTCCTGTGATGTGGCTGTCCCAGTAGAATATGAATGGGGCCACAGGAACAGCTTTCTCTTCATCTGCTTCCTGAAATTGCTTGTCTAGAGGTTCTCCTCTTCCCTCTTTCCCTGGGTTTGGAAGATGGAGATGGGTGACCAGGTCTCACCACATAGGGGAAGGGATGCTGGGACCACAGATGGAAAGAAGCCAGAGCCTTTCGGGAATTTATGGAGTTAATTTTCCTACCAACCTGGATTATTCACCTTGGGATTATCGTGTGAACGCAAAATTTTCTGCCTTCCTTGGTACCTTTCTGATAAAAGCAGGTTAGTCTGGTCCTCTCACCAGCAGTGTCATCAGCATCACCCGAGAATGCATTAGAAATGCAAGTTCCATGGGGGACTGGACAAAAAAGACGTACATTTACCCAGTGGAATATTCTTTAGCCATAAAAAAGAAGCAACGGCTGCCACTTGTGACAACATGGTCTGACCTTGAGGATATCATGCTAAATGAAGTAAGTCAGACAGAGAAAGACAAATACTGTACAATCTCACTCATACATGGAATCTAAACAAGCTGGACTCCTAGAAACAGAGGGTAGATTGGTGGTTGACAGCGCTGGGGGTGGGGGGAATGGGCAGTGGTGGTCAAAGGGTACATACTTACAGTTATGAATAAGTTCTGGCATCTAAAGTACAGCATGGTGACTCCAGTTAGTAATCCTGTAGTCTAGAAAATTACTGAGAGGGTAGATCTTAAATATTCTCACCACACACACAAAATAACTAGATGAGGTAATAGATAAGGTAAACTAATCTCACTGTGGTTATCATGTCACAATATAAATGTCCCTCGAACCACCATGTCAAGGCATCTTGAACTCACATAATGTTCTGTGTCAGATATATTTCAATAAAACTGGGGGAAAGCAACACGTTCAGAAAAGAAATGCAATTTCTACTGCATGAGACCGGTAGTCTGGGGGTGGGGTCCAGCAATCTGTGTCTGGTTCCAAATAGTAATTCTAAATCCACATCCAATTGTAAGAAATAATACAGAGAAATCCTTCATAAGCTTTTCCCTGTGTTCCCCAAAGGTAACATTTGGCAAACTGGAATAAAATCAGAGCGAGAAGATTGACATTGGTACAACTCACTGATCTCACTCAGATTTCCCCAGTTGTGTACTCATTTGTGTGGAGCGGTTGTATGCATGTGGTTCTGTCCAATTTTATTACATGTGTAGGTTTGTGTATCTATTGCCCAAGCCAAGACACTGAACAGTTCCTATGCCAAAGGATTCTTCATTTTTTTCTTTCTTTAAAGATTTTATTTATTTATTTATTCATGAGAGACACATAGAGAGAGGCAGAGACACAGGCAGAGGGAGAAGCAGGCTCCCTGAGGGGATCCTGATGCAGGACTCGATCCCAGGACTCTGGGATCATGACCTGAATCAAAGGCAGATGCTCAACCACTGAGCCACCCAGGTGCCCATACCAAAGGATTCTTGGGGTTACCTTTTTAGACTCATACCCATCTTCTTCCCCCCAGCTATCTCCCTGCCATCCTTATGGAGATATAATTGACGTATAACACTGTGTAGGTTAAGACGTGCGTGTGTTGGTTTGATAACATCTATATATTGCAAAATGATTGTCGCCATCGCTTAGCTAACACCTCCATCCCATCACACAATTGCCATTTCTTTTTTGTGGTGGGAACATTACCAACACTCCATTTTTTAACGAGCTCCCCTGTTGATTCTGGTGCACTAGAATCTGAAATACAGGGATGCCTCGTTGTATAAAATAATTATTGTTACCAGGTTTTTGCACCAGCCTTGGGCTAGGTATGCATCTAACGTATTTATCCGTGTCATCGAATCTGGTCTTTAGAGCATCCTGGTGGGGAGGTGCCCATTACTATCCTCCTCTGCTGTGGGAACTGAGTGCCCACACGGGACAGGGGATGTAAGGGCAAACAAGACAGAGATAATTATTGCACAATTAATAATAGGCAAAGTCACTGTTTGAATCCAGGTCTGACTGCAGGAAGCAGGCTCCTACTCAGTAGTCTATACTGAATTTCGGTCCTGGCACAGAAACATCAGGAGTCTCCCTAGGAGTCCCTGCCTCCAGCAGGTAGTTTGCATACTAGAAGGCTGCCTGGAGTCCGCTATCTCAGGGTCTCAGCACCTCGGGGATGTCTTCCTTTGAGCATTTCTTCACTATTCCTAATCAGATTTGATCCCACGAAGGTGCGATATTGCGGTAGGAACTGAACAAAGACAGAGGTCATAGTGTTTCAGAGCTCGAATGCTGTTTTACAAATTCTTCCAGCTGAGCAGCAACTTCTCCAGGTGGAAAGAGGCAGACCCAGGGAGCGGGGGCTCTGGGGTACAGGAGTCTTGGAAAATCTGGTTTTCAGTGAGATGACTCCAGTCCTGGGAGCCAAGGGGTCAGTGCTGGCCCCTAGGGTCTCCATGTAGTGTTTTAGCTTCACTCTAAGCAGCAACCAGGGCTGGAGTTGAATCATGGAGATACTCCTGGACACAAACAGGTCAAATCTTGGGGAGCTTAAACCCTTAAGAGGGCCCCCACATTTAATTTGCATGTCTGTCTGCTTGGGATAAGGCTGAGGATCTTCCAGCAGGACAGGAAAGGCAAGTTCTGTCCCAGGATGGAAGGGACTTGAAACACGGTGCTCCTTTCACTGACTGAGAACCTTCCATGTACCAGGCATTGAGTTAAGAAATTGTTATCCATTGTCTCAGTTCTTCTTTTTGACCATTACAACAACTGCTGGAGACAGACTTGCTTAGCATCTCCAGTGCACATTTTGGAGAGGGGAGGGCAAGGTGCTTGAGCCAAATTCCTAGTTCATCGGTAGGGCACCAAGTCCTAACAACTGTGCCACACTACCCTAAGGAGCCAGGGTTTATTTTAGAAGGCAAGTCATTGAGTTTCCAGGCCCCTAGGAGGGGTCATTTCATGCAAATAGATGCTATTAGCTCATTTGACAGGTACTTGGAATTCACTGAGAGCAGAGTCATCCTACTCTCCCATCTAGTCGCTCTCCTCCTCAAAATAGATGTCCTTTTCAAATATCTTATTATGCTATGACACCTCCTTGCTCCCATTTAATAGATAAGTTAAAGGGGCCCAAGAGATGACAGGTGATGTGCTCAACCTCACACAGCCGCGGAGCATCACAGCCAGGATTCGCAAAACTCAAGCAGAGCTCTCCCACTACCACACCGTGCCTGTCCTTAATTGGAAACACAATGTAATTAAGTGCTCTGGGCTTGTTATCCTTCGAAATATACTTGGTGCCATAATCTACCCAAGACACCATCCATTATGAACCAATGACGGGGAAACTGCCCACGTGGCAGGTGTGAGATCCTATTGGTTGGGCTCCATCAGCACCATTACACGCTCTGTATCTCAATGATCTCCCCCATAAGACATATTTATGGCAATATTAAAAGGGAGATGAAGGGATATATTCTCTTCCTTATGTACCACATATATTATACATCCATGCTCATCAGAGCCCAGATGATGTCAGACAGGGCCAGCACAGTGTGGTGATAGGAGAGATGTCTATTGGTTTCCAAGGGGCCGCCCACAAACCTGCTCATCTGTATGGCACCCCACAGTTTATAAAGTACTTTATCATCCATTTGCTTGTATGAGCCTCATAAAATCCCCATGATGGGAGAGTGTTCATGACCAATGTCACCACCCTCATTTCACAGATGGAAAGACAGGAGTGAAGCGACTGGCCCTGGGTGATGCCCTCTGGGATGAGTGGAAGCGCCACTCGACCCCAGATCTTCAGACTTCATATCTTTATAATACCGATGTCTCTTGCTATGCCTTCATTCATCCACTCACTCATTCACTGATCCATTTAATATGAATGAGCACCTGTCTCAGGCCAGGCCCTGTGCTGGGTGCCAGGAAGCAATAGCACTGGGATCCCCTGTGCCCACTGCTCTCGTAGAGACAAGAGCAGTGGCCTCCCGCAGGATGATCTTGCCCCCAGGGAACTGGGCAAAGTCTGGAGACATTTTTGGTTGTCACCATAAGGAGGATGCTACTGGCATCTAGTGATCAGAGCCCAGGGACACTGCTGAACATCCTACAATGCACAGAGGGCCCTATGACAAAGACATATCCATCTCCAAATGCCAATAGTGTGGAAGGCAAGAAACCCTGGCCTAGAGTGCACTGAAGAAGACAGAATTAATCAAATTATCCCACTATTGAGGATGTAGCTACAGAGAATCAGGGAATGTATGAAGAGCACCAGCTAATGCTGGCATAGAGCTCATGTGCTGGGCTCTGCTCCAGAGGCCATTTACCTCTGTTAACTCCTTTAGTCCATAAAACAACCCTGTGGGATTGGCATTATTGTCAACTTTGTTTATAGAGGGAGAAACTGAGTCTCAGAGAGGTTAAGGCCTCTTGCCCAGCAAGAGGATGGACTGGGATTTGAACCCAGGCTGCTTGACGCCAGCTTCCGTGGCTTTGGCCTCTACATTGTGCAGCCTCCTTGCGACACCAGGAATCTGCCTTGGTTTGGGACTCAAAGGGAGCTTTGTGGTGAAAGGGATGCATGATGTGAGGTTTAAGGAAGTGGGGGATGGAGGGAGAGCATTCCAGTCAGAGGGAACAGCATGTGGAAAGGCCATGTGGCAAGAGGCCAAGGAGGGCTGGTGGGGAAAGCCACTGACGGTGCACATGATGGGGGTAGGAGGGACATTGGAGTAGCGGGAGGGTCCAACTGGGCCACAAGCTGGGTTTGCAGGAGTATGGACTCTGCACAGAGGGGCAACAGGGTTAGACGTAGATGCTGAAAGGCTGACTCCGGCTGCTGTGTGCCAGGAGGACCTGGGTTAGAGCGGAGGATGAAAGAGGAGCAAACGCGGCGCCGACAGCAGGCTGGCAGCAGGGGAAGGCAGAGAACCAGATGTGAGGACTGCTCGGAGACAGAACTGTCAGGACGTGGTGATGGATGTGACTGGGTGTCGGGGCAGGGCGATGGGTGATGCACTGCTCACCCCCGTGAGTCTGACCTTCTGATGGAATAATCCAAAGGTTGTTTGTGCACAACCCCAGCGCCTGCTGGGAAGGGCTGCTGGCCTTGCCCACCCCTCCTTGAACTTGCATAGCCACGTCCCTGCTCCTGGTCCTGGCTGCCGAGCGCGGGAGCAATGATGACACTGCTTTGCTCCGCTGACAGCCCTCTGTTTGTGCTCTCAGATGCCTGTAACTCACAGATAATTAATGTCAGCTGGCTGTCACGGCACCCCAGCTAATCACAGTGCGTGGGGTAGGCACACTGGTCGATGAGCAGCCCAGGGATCTGTCAGACCCAGGAAAGGGCGCGTCACCTGCCGGGGCCTTGGAGGCTGCTGTGGATTTTAGCACATGGCACTGACAGTCTCCATCCCATGGGAGGCAGGTGCTCAAGGTCACATCTGCAGGTCTGGGAGCCCCGGCTGGACAGAGGGGAGGACACAGGAGGGCAGCAGAGGCAGCCCCTCCCTCTTCCCTTGCAGGAGCCACAGCTGCCCTGGGTCCTATTTCAGACCCGGCGCCGAGCTCAAAATTCAGAGTGAAGTGCGTTTGTGCGAGACTGGAGCGCTTTCTGCAGCCGCCCCGAAACTCTTGTAGCTTTGCAGACACTTCAGTCTTTGCCACATCTCTCTGTGTTTTCTGGGCAGCTCCCTCTGCTCAGTTCCAGCCTCCCCAGTCCCCATACACGCCGGCGCACCATCCATAAGGTTAAACCCACTGTTTCACACTCCCTTTTCCAAGGAGCAGGCCTCTACCCTCTACGTTCCCACAGCACGTGGTATAAACCTCTAGGACATTCATTCATCCGGCCATTCCTTCGCCCCATCGGCACTGAGCTCCCGCAAGCACCTGCTCTCTGCTGGCGAGAATGGTGATACATTCTAGACGGATCTGGACAGATGCCCTTTGTCCTGGAGTACGCAGTTCACGGCATTCAACCAGGAGGATACCGAGCGTTGATTGATCACAGCGTGATGGGCAATCCTTTCTGTCGTCTGCTTCCCTTTCTATGCCCAGGGTTGATTCCACAGGAATCTCTCCGACGTCAGGGACTGCCTGCTTTATGTAGGATTTCGGGTGCCCGCAGAGTATATTCGCAGTGAATATTTAATGAAAGAAAGAGCGAATGGAGTAAATGGGAATGGGGTTCACCCGCCCAGGTCAATTTATACTCCATCTGGAGAGCTGTCTGCCCTCCCAGCCACCCAAGGCAAGTTGTGAGCCTGCAGATATGTTCAGGTACATCAGATGCAGTCTGGGCCAAGGGGAGATCCCCTTCTTTGGGGTCTGGCTGCCCAGGGGAACATCCAGATAGCCGTGCGAAGCACTGATTATGTGCCTAACGCTATGCCAAGTCATGAAGGATGGGGGCTTCCCTCTAAGGTGGGTGTCAGGCTGAGCTCTGGGGTAGGAGTCAGGGTGGGGTTAGCAGGAGCCCTCCAGCTGAGCTGGGAAGCTCCAAGAAGCATCAGCCTGCCTACCAGCATGGTAAAAGGAAGCTAGACAGGAAGAGGCAGTTAGGGAGTGAGCTTCCCATCTGGGGAGGCATTCAAAGAGGCTGTAGGACATGCTTTGCCTGGGATGCTGCATTCCCATCAGAACAGGCAACTGAAAGAGCCATCAGGGTGGAATAGGGGTGTAATCATCAGCGAGCCTGTGCCACGGATCTCACAGGGAGGGCGGCCTGGGGTGTAGTTAGGAGCCCTCATCCCCAGAACCAGACAGACCTTTGACGGAGTCCTGGCCTCTGAATAGCTGTGCAACGGCGAGAGACTCATCGAACTTGCTCAGCCCTCAGTGTTTCCCCTTTGTAAACTGGGGGAAACAACACTTACCTGACAACACCCTGCAGAGTGCCGGGTCCGGTTCAATGGGCAGGAGCTGTGTGTGTTACTTGTAAAAAGCCGAAGTCCTGTGCAGTGCACTGGAGCGTGGGGAGATGGGGTGGGGGGACATGGGCCGGGACTGGGGCAAGCTGGCACCCTCGGGAAAGCCACCCCAGGAGAGGGCGGCCGGGCCGCAGAGGCCAGTGGGTAGAGGGCTAAGGTGCCGGGCACCAGCCCACAGGAGGGGGTGAGTGGGTGAGGGCTGGCTGAGCAGGGCTCCCACCAGATGATGGCCGAGCTTCTGGCTCTGGCTCTCAACTAATTTTTTAGAAAAGATTTTATTTATTTATTTGAGAGCGAAAGAGAGAGCGAGAGCGAGTAGGTGAGTGCACGGGTGGGGCAGGGGGAGCAGCAAAAGGAAAGGGAGAAGCAGACTCCCCACTGAGCAGGGACCCTGATGCAGGACTAGATCCCAGGACGCTGGGATCATGACCTGAGCCAAAGGCAGATGCTTAGCCGACTGAGCCCCGCAGGCGCCCTTCTCAACTCATTTTGAATCCCCAGAAGGGGATTGCTGCAAGGCTGAGGTCTGGCTTCTGAGGTCTTCCAGCACGGGGCGGGGGGGCTTTACCTTGCTGCGGTCGCAGTTACCCACAAGACTGGGTCCCCCCTGCCCGGCTACTTGACTTCCTCCTCCTCCTCCTCTGGTAGAAGCCTCCTCCTTCATTTGCTCCCTCGCCAGACTTCACCTTCTGTGAACCTTTGCCTGCTGGCTTCTGTTCTAAGGCTAACACTGCAGAAAGGTGACAGGGAGAGGCACAGGTCCCTGTCCTCAAGAAGGTCCAGTCTGGGTGTGGAGGCAGGAATATGGCAGGTGATTGTGACACAGTGTGGCAACTGCCACCCCTGAAACAACCGCAACAACCTTACAGAGTCTTTGCCAGAAGCCCTGGCGCGGGGGGTGGTGGTGGGGGCAGCGGGGAGTTGGATCTCTGAGAGGTTAGTTCACATTTCTAAAGTCACACAGCCCCTATCACTCAGATCTGCCCGTCACCAGCACCCATGCTCTTCACCATTATGTTATGTAGCCTCCTATGGCTACTCATGCATTCATTCAACCAACATTTATTGAGCATCTACTATGTGTTGGGCATCATGCTGGAGTCCGGTGCTACTACACAGAGCAAGGCAGCTACAGTCTTGCCCCTGAAGGAGTCTGCCTTCCGACTAAGGTGATTAGGAGCACAGAGGAGCTTTCCTTGGGTAACCACTCAGGGGGTTGGGAGGGTGGGGTGATGGCATGTGGGTGTGAGGTCCAGCAGGTCCTCCAGGAGGTGGGAACAGCACGTCAAAGGTCTGGAAATGTGTTCCTGGAATATTAGGAATTCCCTTTTCCTTTCTTCCCTCCTGCCCTCTTTTCCTCCTTCCTTTCCTTGCATTTTTAAAAAGATTTTATTTATTTATTCATGAGAGACACAGAGAGAGGCAGAGACACAGGCAGAGGGAGAAGCAGGCTCTACACAGGGAGCCTCACGTGGGGCTCCATCCTAGGTCTCCAGGATCATGCCCTGAGCTGAAGATGGCGCTAAACCGCTGAGCCACTGGAGCTGCCCCTTTCCTTGCATTTTTTAAAAAGATTTTTAAATTTGTTTATTCATGAGAGACACAGAGAAAGACAGAGACACAGGCAGAGGGAGAAGTAGGCTGCCTGCGGGGAGCCCGATGCAGGACTCTATCCCAGGACTCTAGGATCACACCCTGGGCCAAAGGCAGATGCTCAACCACTGAGCCCCCCAGGGATCCCCCTTTGCATTTATAAACGAGTATTACATTCACATAGTTTGAGAATCTACGGGCAAAAACTGATACGTAGTGAGTATCTCCCTCCTTCCCCACCCCTTCCCCTACCTGTGCACTTCCCACCCTCTTCCCTGCTCCCCCTCCACGCAACCATTTACTTTTGTCCCCTGAGCACCTTTCCAGACTAGCTTCATGCAAATGCAGGCATATATGCATGTTTTCTGGTCTCCCCCTCTTTTATTTCAGAGAGAACATACTGTGCTTACTGTTCCAGAGAAAGATGAGAATTTTCTGCGGTGGAAGCAGAGGTTTGGAGACCTGGACAGCAGGGAATTTTGGGTTGAGATTGGGATGTACAGGGG